TAAATTTCGATTTCATTCTCTTTTAATAAAATCCTAAATGACTGAGTTGTTTTTTTTGCTCTGCCATTTCTCCTCTTATCATCACGCTGTAACCTGTGACGGGCTGTTATGCTATGATAATTGCACATTAACATATATGTAGCTTTTTGTTGAGCCACAAGGTTTACGACCAAATCACTTGACGACACTGACACCAACTCCTGTGTGCGCACGGCGAGAGAGGAGAGGGAGAGACACTGTGCTGCTTCCAGAGGAGCCGCTGAATGAGTTCCCTCTGCAGGGAGGGTAACTCACTGTAACTCATTAAAAAAGTCTGAGAAGTCTGGGGCTGTTCATAAAACATTCAGGACTCCACACTACTGAAGCTGCTCCACTTTTTGGAACCACTGGTCTGTGATAATTTCACTTTCAGCCATGTTTGTTGTTGTCATGGGTAACAGTGTGATGTCAATATGTTAACAAATCGATTTTTTTTTCATATCATTTCATTAAAAATCATACCAGTATCATCGTCAAAGCTATGATATGGCACACCCTGAACAACAACAATGGAGGAGAAATATGTTAATATACTGTAGGTTATATTTACCAAAATCATGACGCACATAGACTACTTTGCTTTCAAGGGAGATCATCAGGGGTTAGAAGAGTATATTGAAGCACTAATTTATTGTTAGTTTTGTCCCCCTATGGCATCAAATTGGGTATCGACTACTAAATTTCTGGTATCCCGACATGCACAATTTAATGTAACACAGGGTGAATAATTAATATACAAAGATCATTTCCTCTAAGTGTTCCTCTAAGCAGCCAAAGTTTAAACATTTGCCAAAAACCCTGCAAGGTTAAGACAGTAAATCATCAACAATTTGAAGCTGAACTTTGTCTCCTACTAAACATGTTTGCAACAGTTTATTTATTTACTTCTCCTTGTCTCCTTTAATTAGTTACAGATAACATTGTCTCTTCATGGTAAGACATGAGTGTCCACAACAGGACAGACTCTCTTACTATTAAATCAAGCAAAAACTCTGCACAAAATGTTCAGAAAAAAAAAAGAAGGCGGAATAGAGATTGGAGTGTTTTATAATTCTGAGTATGTAAATTTGTCCTGCTCTCTTCCTCCCACCTTTCCAGGAGCATCTGAAATATGAAACACTGACAGTTTTATGCACACAAACAGTAAAGCTCTCTTTACTGTACCTGATTCAGGCAGGACACGTAGATCTCCGTCCTTATAGTCGTCCCATAGCTGGTACATGTACAGCACCGGGTCCTTCTCGTAGGTGATGTAGTACCAGTGGGTCATGATGGGGGCTCGGGACAGCACCATGCCCCGCCACTCGTTCTTCTCACCATCCTCCTTCTCAAACAGATGCTCCACAGCCCGGCCCACCAGATCCTCCGCCCCGGGAGGCACCTTGATTTTATTGTTTACTGCGGGAAGAAGACACTTTGATAAGTTAACTTGTAAACTTTATAGATCCCAAAGTAGGACATTAAAATATTATTATATTATGAAATGTTTTAGATTGACCAGAACAAAAATGATTGACAATCAGACACTCGCTTCGAATGTTATCAGCCCATGAAACGGCTGTTATCTGTTGTCATCCGGAGCACACATTTAAGGTGGTACGGCTGTATTTTACTTTCTATATTTACGTTTATGTCAGCTGGCAAACTCTAGTCCCTGTAGTGATTTTAATGGGAGCAAAGGAGGACGACAGGTGACGTAGTGTAAAGAGGAACAAAGTCTGCATAGGGAGGAGGTCAGGGTGGATGAATGAGTCAAACAAACACAGGATTTTCACCCAGGAGACCGCTGTTCACGCCCCATGTGAAACCAATAACACAGACAGTGTGCCAAAATGGATAAAACAAAACACAAGGGAGGTGCGGGAGAAATTGCACGTCAGAAAAATACTGTTATCTGGGATTTTTCACACTCGTTTTGTAACTTGCTGGCTGCTCAGAGTAACTCAGTCGCTTTCTCTCTTCTCTGGTCGTGAGCAGGCAGGCAGGCAGGAGAGAGTTACTATGGTTACACAAATCGGCGTATGTAAAGTCAGACAACAAATGTGATAGTCTTTGTAATATGGATGTTGTCATGCCTGTTAAAATAAAAGCAGGTCTGTGTTTGTGCTGGGGGGCTGAGGAGCGACACAAGTTAGAGCAGGATGAGTAGAGTCTAGTGTTATATATAAGACACACACACACAAACACACACACACACACACACACACACACATATATATATGGCTTTCCACCATAAATAGATGCAGAAAAGGCCCAAATTGGTGCAGCAAAATCCACCAGACTGCCAGAAATAAAGTGCTCAATGCTCAAAAAGAGCCCCAGAACCCCTCTTTAATATGTGTCCTCTCAAATGTTGAAAGAAACCTATACCTTTGTATCATTTTATATAAATATAAAATTTAAGTCATATAAATATGACTTAAATTTGTGTGATCGATTGTTGTGGGTCTGGGCCAAATGCAAGGGCAAACATTTTGCTCCAGTCCACCCATTGTTGCTATTTAATTAAAGTTGATTTGATCCAATTTTTTATTCATAAACTTTTCATTTCACAAACAGAACAAACGGCAGTCTTCCTGTAAATGAATACTTTTTTGCTGCTCTAAAACAGCAGCCTACACAGCAAGCTGCACTGTGCCGCCACTGGCATCTACTGTTTTAGGGGCTGTACTCATGCTGCGTCTTTAACTGCCTGGAAAATGCAAGGTCGGGTGCTGGGTGCTACTCTTGTGCCTATTCTTTGCCAACATTAAAGGGCGCAGAGGCAGGTTACGTCTGAGGTTGCTGAGCGACCATAACCAGCTCTGTATCATAACCTTCTTGCCAGAAATCCTGAGTGCGTAGCTGATCTGCTTCCAGGCATTGTTTTCCAAGTGTGTATTAGGCCAAAAATATTGTCCGTGGGACAGATGTAAAGCTCTAGTTAACTCTGCACTCAAATAAACTTCTCGTTCATATTTACCACAGACTGATATTTTTTGGAAGAAGGGAAGAATAACTGCCGGCTGTGATTGGTTGTTCCCCCTCACATGGCATGTGGTGCGCGCTGCTTATGTCAGGGCGCAGCCATCGCACTCTGAAAAACAGGTGCTTGGGAACACATGCACCCCACAACAGTGTCTCTCCAGTATTTGAGCACACCTGATGCACCTTTAAATTGAAAACAATTCATTTGAGGGCACAAAACACGCAGTACGTGTACAACTTCTTAGAGCAGCAAAGAAGAGGAATTAATTAATAGTAAATTCAGTAACGTTAGCCATTAGCAAATATTGTCATATTAAATAATTTTAAAATTCTATACCATTCATGTCCTGTATGTATTTAGTTATGTTAGTCGTATACAGGTGTTAACTTTTCTTAACGCAATGTTATCGGATCGATACTTATAGTATTGGCCAATGCGCAAGTTCAGGAATGGTAATCAGTATTAGGATGTGAAAAAATGCATCAGAACATCTGAACCCTAAACCTAAGAAAACCACAACTGTGCCACAGCATTGGATATGCACCTTCTGGTCTGGTTTGCCCTGTCTAAAGCATTGTAATGACAGTGATAACACCTGATGACAGCCATTTAATTGGCTGATAACATTCAAAAGGGGTGGTATCAGATTTAACTTCTTCTTCTCACTAAACAAACTCCAGTATCAACTGGACTGAAGTGTTCACACTGTTAATGCTTTCATTCCAAGAGTTAACCCCTCCAATTCTTAGATTATGATTGTTTATTTGCCTGTTTTCTACAAGCCATTCATTCATACCTAGACACTAAATCACTGATAAGTTTCATTATTCTGTCAGCCACAAACAAAAGAACAGGACAGTTAGCATTAGCAACCATAGTCACCACACTGGAAGAGAATGAGGAAAACATCAACTCAAGCTTGACACAGAAAATCCTGAGAAAAGGCAAAGTGATCCCTGGGGTACTGAGAATAAATGACCTGAGTAGTTACCATACATGAGGCGACGTAGACGACGGAACAGTTGGCTTTCGTCGCCGCTAGTTCTTTGATGTTGGTTTGGTGTGTTCGCACCTTAAACTTCACTGCTGACAATACGCAGACCCAAGTAAACCAAAAAGACGTTGTCACACTCACCAACTTTCTCTGTCAACACCTGTAGGTTCGACACCCGGCTGTCTTTGAAGAGCTCGATGCCGTACACACAGTCAAAGCCGTCGTATTTGACCATGTAGAGGGAGCTGTTCACAGTTAGGCGCTCCAGAACGGTGCCTTTCCACTTGGTCACGTTGCCCTTCTCCCTCCAGGTGTGCTGAATCCTGCGGCCAAGCAGGTTGTCAGGGTCTGGGCTCAGGGTTGACGCTGAGCTCTCACTCAGCTCTCCACTGCTACGCTTCCTGTTATCATGAAGTGAATAAGATTCACATTAGTGTTAATATATCAGTTGTAAATCTGAAGTGTGATGAGCATTTTGGGTGCTTTATGAGCTATTTGTTCAATATTAGTGTTGGATTTCGTTTTGACAGAGGAGGTATATTAGTTATGAAATGAACTGGTGCTACGCCTTTATCAAACATCCTGCTGTCACAAACAGTGAGGACTCAAGTCTATTGAAATGTTACACATGCACACAAGGGCGTAACCCTGTTATTTATTAATACTACCAAGTGTTACACTATCAGGGGACAGGTTCCTCTTCTTCAAAAGTGCTACATCTTGAGCAATGTCTGTCGTGTTTAGTCATTTTCACACTGATGAAAGCCTACTGCCTCTAAACATGCCATTGCTAACATGACATAGCAGGGTAACTTCACCAAGTGTTTGCAAATATGGTGCAGGGGGGAGCTTTATGAAGCTGTGAAGCTTTATCTGAGCCAACAGCACTGTAATATGACAGCAAAAATACATTCATTAATCCATTAGTCAGCTCAGACTCATTTGACTTATATATAGTATTTGTAGTGCTTATGACGTGGCAATGCCTTAAACCCCACAGATGTTTGGCAGATTCTAGCTAGCATTACAGCTCAGCCGATGAGGACGCCATTAATGTGTACAACTCACGCTGAGTAGATTAGGGCTGTAAATTTAACCAAAATATTATCATAACTGCAATACAATATTCAAATGCAGGAGCTGCAATTTTTTGATAAAAGTAAAATGTGTCATAACATACCATTATAAATGAGGCACTGTGGTGCTAAAGAGATGCTCCGGCCTACAAATTATATTCCAAATAAAGGGAACATGCCTGTTCGGTACCAGGGTTGGGGGGAAAAAAAGTCGGTATAGCATAGTATAGCAATATTTTTCTGTGGCAATATTGTAGTATTGTTTTTTTTAATTATATAAATTATTAATATTACAAATACAAATGAAACTTTAATAAAATAATCAATTACTTTTCAGGCCACCAGATACATTTTACTGCTGCAAAAAAAATGGCTGAAGTGACATGAACAAACTGAAAACTTTACTTATTCGATAAAACAGATGTTGAAGTTTTCCTTTAGGGACATACTTTGCAGGTGAAAAAGGTAATATATATAGCAATATACTGTATCGTAACACTTAGCATATCACAACTTATTTAAACGCACAATAATATTGTATCGTGACTTAAGTATAATGATAATATCGTATCGTGGATCCTCTGCTGATTCCCATCCCTATTTGGCACGGACGGCAAAAGTCACATTTTTGGGGTGAAAATGAAACGCAAAAATTATCGCTATCGCAATAGCTATTATGATAATCGAAGAATAACTTTTTTTTTTTACTCTACTAGAGTAGATGCACGCTTCCTTCTGTGTGGTGGAAAGAAAATAGTTCCTACATGAATTGGCTCACAACAAGGTCTGTGGATTATTTTGAGTAACCGGGTCATGATTTCTGGAAAGAGACACTGCAGCTGAGTTGTTCAAATGTATTTTTTCAGCACTTTGAGCACCACAAGCTGAAATCTCTACGGCCAATATCTCCCAACACCTCGGCAACTCACAGCAGAACAATCTTAAATGACAAATAGCACCACAAGTAAAAGGAAAAATATGTTTTTATTTTTATATGTATATTTGGGGATGAACTGTCCCTTTAAAGCCACTTGGCTGCAGTTGAGTGTATTGGGAATACTGGAAACACTGGGATTGAAGTTGTCAATAAAAGTTACAAGGCTTAAAGGGTGTTGCTGTGCTATTTTTGGTGCATAGAGCAGAGCATGTCATACACTGTGATATATCAGAGTCAGAGGAGTTTCACAAGAGTTTCCTACCTGCCCCGTTTCTTTGACATGTTTCCATAAATTCACACAACCCTGTGAGACACAAGACAGTTCAGTTAGTGACGCTTACATTCTTCATTACCCTAATATCTTAAACTTATGTCAATTTAAAGTGTTTTTGAGAGTTAATGTGCGGCAGGCGACTTGTTCTAGAGGTCTACTAACCCGAGCTCAGTCAACCACAGCCAAGCAAATGAGCCCACAGACCCCGCATTACCGGATGTAAACAACGTAACCGCGACCAGCTAATGCTAATGCTAACTAACGTAGCTCAGCGCTAACAGGCACTACAGGTTATATATTTATACAGCTAACCTGACAGCTAATAAATGTGTGACTTCACCGACACTCGCTGGTTAAATATCGAAGTGTCGAGTGCCGTCAGGAACATTTATCTACGGTGTGTCTAAATTAGGAAACAGCTAGGTAGCCTTAACCTTAGTGAATCCTCTCAGTCACTGTTTATCTCTAAATAAGTAACATTACTGAGAATTTGGCTTCTGCATTTCTACACATAGGCGAGCTGAACAAAAGGAAATGCATCGCCATGTAAGCGCTGATTTTGCACACTGCTTGTAGCTACAGGACTAACAGACAAAACAAGGACTGACTGGAGGAAATTAACTGACATTTTTAATCCCGTCGACGAGTTCAAGAGGCGCGAGCCGGCAAAATAAGCTGTTTGCCCTACCTGATCAATAATTTCACATGTGTTTGTCTTTGCAGAGCAGATTCCACCACCTAACTAACGTAGGCAAGACACACGGAAACGACCCTAATTTGTGGACTACAACTACCAGTAAAAACGGGCAGCTCGCAAAGCTTTCTGGGACTTGAAGTCAGACTCAATTACTTCCTTTTGATCGAGTACAACTGCGTATAACGTCGGAACTGAGTGAAATTAGCGATTAACATTACAGCTAGCTAACATTATAGTTAGCCAGTTAGATATTCATATTGTTAATATTTTATTCTCCTTTAGATGTTTAGGATATGAACATGCTAAAAATGTCCCGAGACTACATTTCCCATCATTCACCAGAGATCAAGCCCACATTTTTCTTCCTCTCGTTGACTGCTGCACATTTTCAAGACATCGCTTTCCTCCACATTAAGTAAGTATTAATTACATTCATAAACTGAGCTCGATTTAATAATCATTTTTAGACTTTATTTGTCATTTTTTAGGAAGGCTAATAAAACAGAGAACAGGTAAACATGATACAAAAAATGCAAATTACAAAACGTTTGTAGACCTAAATATGACCCCTGCTCCCCCATCCAAAAGATTTTTATTTTTTATTTTTTTTTAAAAAAAGCAAATAAAAATATGACAATGCAAAAGCGAAACACAGATAAAAACAGACAGATATATTCCATTTCAATTCACCAGAGTTCTGACCTTGCAATTTGAGGATGGGACTCCAGAGATGATGACATGGAAATCAGGGGTTATGGTTTCTTTTTAGAAATATTTTAAAAATACTTTGAATATAGAATAGAACACTCTTTCAAAAGCACTTTATTGAAAGGCATAAAATATGGTCCACAAAGACAGTGTTTCCCAAGTGATACCATTTTAGGTTTAAATTCTAGGTTGTCCTCAGTCTGAGATTTCCATTTTGGAAAAATAGCCAAGAAAATCCCAAATGTACACGACACCTATATATAAAATATGTATATATAATGTATGAATGTACGTAACATGGAAAATATGATTACTTATTTCTTAACTTATTTTTATTTTATTTTTATTTTTTTCATGAAGGGCTTTGGCAATAACATATCTTCATTAATTCCAAGAAAGCTATTTTGAGTTGGATTAAACTGAATTGGATTGAGTTTAATTGAATTGTGTAGCCTTGGTTTAATTAGGGGGAAAGTGCACTTAACTTTCTGCATTCTGGTAAATTTTTATCTACCAATTTGAGCCTGTCTTTCATTAATTACTGCACACAGTCTGAATATTGAGGTAGCGTGTCCCCTGTGTCCCCCCTGAAATCTACACCTTTGTTTTAAATTGCATTTTCTATATACATATTCTTCACGTGCACTTCAATTTTCTACTCCCAATGCATGTATTTGATCATTTTACTGGGAAAACATGAAAGAAATGTAAATATCTTCTAAAATATTTTTAGTTTAAAAAAACACAATTGGTCTGGGTTTTGTCCTAGCCCATAAATATGGTTTTAATCACTAAATTGGATAATGAGTGGGCTTTATAATACAAAGAGAAAGGCAAACAGAAATGAATGGGGTTTTTTGTAATTGACAATTTAACTGTTACGTTCCTTAAAAAAAACAACTTAATGTGTTATTTGACTGACCAATAATCAACCATAAGGTAGGCTAACATTATACACACACATTATAAAATACACAACAAAACCTGCTGTAACACTTGAACTCTCACTGGGGGAAGAAGTGGCCTCTTCTTGCAGCTGAAGTGCTAATCTTCACCACAAGATGTCACACCAAACACAACATCTCTGCCACCGGCTCTGTTAACAGACTTCAGATGATGGACTGACCAGTGTGGAGAGTGAATGATGCAGTACCCTTGGGTGCCTGTCTGACAGCTTTTTCAGGGTGAAAGCTTTTGGTTTTATCTTGTGCCAAAGCACCTGCATGTGTGTGTGTGTGTATGACTCACCTGTGATGTTGAGGTGAATAAAAACACACTGCATAAACCTCAAACCTTCTGCTGCTGGTAATCACAAAGTAATCAGTGGTAATTATACACATGAATTCATGATGGTGGCTCCATTTCTTAAACTCACTTGGACTATTCTTCATTCATTTTTTCATACATTTATATTTATTGTAAATTGCCAAATACTTTGACACATATTTACCCATTTTATGACCAAACAGGACATTAAGAAGACAAAAGGTTCTTGGCCTTTATTGAAAACCTTTCTAACCCCTTTAGATCACAGTCTCTGCCATTTTGTGCACCTATTAATTAACAATATATGCCAAAACAAAATCAATTTCTTTGCATTCTTGAATGAAAATCCAATCATGTTTTCTTCAAATGAAACATGATGTGTACTTTCGTAAGTTAATGCCAAGTAATTTCAACCAATAATATCATGACCTCCAAACAATCTGCATCTTTAAGCCGCACAGAGCTAAGGTTGAGTTAGCTAGCTAGTAACTCATATTACGTCGGTTTGTCTTTGTTTCCCCAAAATACCATGGTTACGAGCCTGCAGGCTTGTTCACTTTGAGGAAAGTGGTATCTGTGATAGCTCCAGCTTATGCACAAGGCATTTACAGTGGACTGCCTCAGCTGCTAATGTTACATGGAGCATGGTGGACTTTGTCTGTCTTTCCTTGTTGAATACTACCATCCAGTCACCATCAGGGCCTCACTTTTCCTTGATCAAGTGAAATTCCTCTAAACGTTATGTCCCACCTGCCTATCCTGTTCCACTTAGAAGTATGTCACAATATGGGGAGCCAACTAGCTCACCTGGTAGAACAGGCACCCCACGTACAAAGGCTGTGTCCTTACTGGAATGGCCATGGGTTCAGGTCCAACCGACAGTCCTTTGCTGCATATCATCCCCCCTTTCATGCTGTATGTCTGAAAAATAAAAGCAAAAAGCACCAAAAATATATTTAAAAAAATATATATGTTGTAACTGATGCTGGGTCCTCTCAAAAGGCTCCTTCATCTGGACTTTAACGCAAAAGACACAATGACATTTCGGGCTCGCACACCCTTGCGTCAAGCGATTTTCTAAAACAATCAGGATGGCTTGAGCTGGGGATAGGCAACATATTGATATTATATCCATATCGTGTCACAAGATTCAGGGTAGCAGCTCGGTCTTGGAACAAATTGTTCCAGTGGCCACTCACGGTATTGCAGCAAAAAGCATTTTCCCCGTAGACCAACATTGTAAAGGCCACGTCTGAGGCTCTTGACTCCTCAAACTGCAAACAAGGTCAATTATGACTCTTTAAATTGTGATTTTTTTAGCTATGGAGGTTTTATATTTGTAAAGCTTTCCTCGAGCCAACAATTGCTCTGATTGGTTGTAGGTCTATCCAGTTGCATCCAGAGGCATTTTGATGTACAGCCGTTGATTCGGCCCTTTTGGGTGAACCTCTTTCCAAAAATAGACAGGTAAATGTAGGCTGTTTTTGTTGAGGTCAACCTCACCTAAATATACCACTAAGGGTCTAAAGCCCACTGTGGCATTTCAGAAACTGTTTGCTCTCACCCAGCTGTATTAATTAGATCATTTTACCCACAGAGAGAAATTTGCTGCCTGCCATTAGCAGCCATAGCGGTCTGAGTGGTTACAGCCGGAGTTCACTCTCTCTAATGATTAAATTCTGGATGAAAACAGTTTGACCACAGATATGTCAGATCAGTTCACTACAGACGGAATTGCTGTGAGGTGTGAGTCAGTGTTGGTGCTCTGTAAAGCTGACAGCCTTCGGGAGAAAAGCCAGTGTTGTATCGACACAAAGCTGTCCGGCGTCCAAGGTTGCCTCCTCTTGTCCTTGTTGTTGTCACAGCAACAGAAAAGGCCTGGATGTTGGAGAAATGGGCTGCTCCTCTGTTTTTTTGTAACATTTAGTCCCATGATGCTCTACAGCAGGCGTTCAGTAAATCAGTGGAGGTCATTTAGTTTTCAGGGCAAAGGGAAGTATGAAGTGAGTCTGCAACTCAGCACATTCCCAAACCCAGTTGTCTCTGCCACTTGAATGTGTGGACTTATTCTGACTGTAGTGCCGTCTCAAGGCCCCAAAATATAAATCCTTACTCGTTTGTGACTGACATCTTCTGCTGCTCGTCTCTTGCAGGTTTCTCCTGAGCTGCCATCTGAGGAGGGGAGCCCACAGCGGCCTTCTCCCCTGGGATACCATGAGAATACCGTCTCCAAAAATAGAGGTCCCCTCCTCTCCCTTCAACTCTTCTGCTCTTCCAGGTATCTGTTGCTTACATTCGTATTACTGGTGAGAGGACACACACTCACTCCTGCACTGTAATGATTTGCGCCCATCTGAGAAATACTGTTGATGGTTTTTTGTCAAGTATTGCAGGGAGATTGCATAGCCGACTTGTAAAGTCAACCCAAGGTTAGTGTTTGTGTGTGTGTGTGTGTGTGTGTGTGTGTGTGTGTGTGTGTGTGTGTGTGCATTGATTAGATATCTCTATTATTAGCAACATGCCTATGCAACCTGAACTATGGTAGCTTTAAAGGGATGTCATTTCATGGCTGTATCATACAAGTCTGGGGTTCAATTGAACTTGACAGTGTGGTGTGTGTGTGTGTGTGTGTGTGTGTGTGTGTGTTTGTGTGAGTGAAGCAGGGTGTCGGAGCTAAAAAATAAGCGTGCTGCTGATGACTGTTTTCAACCACGTTAATTAGCAGGGTTCTGTTTCTGTCTGGATCACAGCTCACCTCTCCTCTCTGAAGAAAAACTGGAAACAATGAATGCATTCGACAAAACCCTGTGAGCCAAATCGAGACCAGACATGTAAGAAACAGTATCTCGAGTGTTGTGATTCGGGTTATGAAGAGTTTCCAGAGGCTGTGAGGACAGTAGATACAGAACAACACATGAGCATGTGTACTCGGCTGACTGTCGGCTATTCCTGTGTGTTCTTTCATGTGTAGATGAAAGCTAATTCTGCTGAGACTGTTTCACATGTTTGATTTTTGAAATTAGTTTTCTAACAGATATATATATCCTTGGAGAAATGTTATCCATACAGAAGTGTGGAAAGATATTTTCTAGAGTTTTCACAAAGAGGTTTAACACCTGCCTTTGGCTTCTGA